CTTTAGCTATACTATTAATTACACGTTTACAGTTTGCAGAAATAACGGGGAGGGGAGCCTCCGTCCTCCGGGCATTCTGCCAAGTGCTGGCCACGAGGGGCGGAACAACCAACGTGTGAATCGGAGGGCACCCAAGACACGGTTCTCTGCACTGGAGACTGTTGTTGTTAACATCTAGCAACAGGTTTGGGGATCCCCGCTGCGTCTGCCGCAGGACCCGTAACTGCAATAATTCCAAATCACAGGGACGCCAGTCATTCCCGAACCGCCAGGAGGTGGTCCTTGAAGTGCTGGGAGTCGGGAAGTGCCCCACGCAGAGGCAGAAATTCCTTTGGGGCCTTTTAAAATACATTGTGGGCGTTTTCATGAGATCCAGGTGGGCCACCGTGTTGGTCTGAAGCGGTAGAACGAAACTGGAGTCCAGTGGCACCCTTTAAGACGAACAAAGTTTTATTCTTCAGTTACACAGGTGTAAGCTTTCATGGGCAGGCATACTTCTTCAGATACACAGGAAGTGTGCATGCACACAAAAGCTTATACCGTGAATAAAGACTTTGTTGGTCTTCGAGGTGCCGCTGGACTCCAGCTTTGTCCGTGAGTCTATGTTCTGGTTTCAGAATGAAATCCTGCCCTTGGACGGCCGGAACCGACAAACCTGGGAGCAGTGATGACAGAGGGTCGTACTGTCGGAAGGAAAAGGGGGGAGCTGCTTTCTCTGCTGGGGAGGCAAAGACTCCCAAGGGCAGGCAGAGGTTGTTCAACTTGTTGCACGATGAGCCTGATTCGGCAAGCTTGGCTTTCCCTATGGGTTCACAGCAGTGGAGCCACTTGGACCTTTCCTGTTGCTTCAGGATGGGGAATCGAGTGGAACCAGACAACCTGAAGGGGCCCGGCGGATGTACTGGGAGAGAGTCAGCTGGCCCAAGGAGTGGCAGCTGCAGACACCATCGTGCGTTAAGTCCTTTCAGACAACCTTCGCTCTATGGGATCCCTACCCCGTGGGATAAAATGGAATCGCTAAAAGAGATAAAGGAAGCAGATACCTTCTTATTGCTCCCCCTAAACTGCGGGCCGTGAGAATGCACAAACTTTTAAGATCACACCGGTCTGTTTTACAGGCTGGAGGAGGAAATGGGGGACTGAGTTAAGCAAGTAAGGTACCTTGAACAATGTCAGTTTTGAGCTGAAAACTACCTGGATGAATAGTGCCGATCCTCAGAAATAGCCAGAGCTGCCCGATCCTGTTCGGGGACGGGGGGAACGGTTGATCATGATCCTTAACGGCAAGTCCTATGTCCAGAATGTGGGATCCTGCACCAACCCCCCTCCCCCAAAAATATTCACCAGGAGAGGGGCAAGGAGCTACTGTGGCTTTGGAACACAAAATAGAATTCTATACAATTTTTCTTTTTAAAACCTTTTTCAGTAAATACAAGGGGGAAAAATTGCACATAAATACAAACACACACGCACACACACACACAAATGTCCCAAGCTGTTTAAACTTGTAACAGAAAACTCGGGTGGGTTTTTTTGTTTTGTTTTTGGTATATAGTACATTAGAAATAAACCGCAAGTTTGGGGGGGAAAAGATAGAGATCTTCTGGCTTGCTTTCCTTCAAGGTTTAGTTGTTTGGAAAACACGAAACCGAAGAGTTCTAACTGAAACGGGGCACAAAACAGAACCCCTTTTTCCTTCTCTTTCTGAAGTGGGCACCTGTTTTAGCTCCGGCCCTCCTGTACGGAACCGGTGCTGGGCTCGTCAGGGCGAGAGTCGCACCTACGCGAGCGGATGTGTTTTGGTTCCTGGAAGGTAGATTCAGGTTGGGCAGCCGTGGCCCTGTTCACATGCCGAATTTGCCGCCGGAGAGCCACAAATGTTGGGCGTATTTTCCGGGTGCGATCACACTGCAACATCTGGCAGGCGTGGTGCACCTGTGGGCCAACCTGTGGCGTGCCGCTGAAAATGCACGATTAAAAAGTACCTGCACAAAAGTACTGGCAAATGGTTTGCCACGGGCTGCCGATGGACTCCTTCTGTGTGATCACACCGGTGCGGCTTTTCCCTCTGGCCGTCTTCGTTGAAGCGCAGGCACCGAGGGACGGAACCTAGTTGTGCCGCCAACACGTCTGATCGCGTTCTGGCAGGTCTAACTGCGCAGGCGCAAATAGCCACACCTCCCCCCACGTTATGTGGCCCGTGTGGGTCTGAAGCCACAGAACAAAGTTTGAGCCCCGGGGCACCTTGAAGACCAACAGAGTTTAATTCTGGGTAGAAGCTTCCATGCAGGCATACAAAAGCTTATACCCGGAATTAAACTCTGTTGGTCTTACAGGTGCCCCTGGACTAAACCTTTGTTCTATCGGTCCCTGGAGATTGAACCACATGCCTGGTTTGCATGGCGGAAGAGCCTCCGTATCAGTCTTCCCAACTTCACGCAACGTGCGGGCCAGATTGATTAAGCAAACCGGGGACTGAGACACACCCAGGTGTGATGGCAACTGTTTTACGGTGTGTAGTGCGAAACTGCCTGTTCATTGGTGATGGGGCAGAACCCCCCCCCCAAAAAAAACAGTCCCATTTAGGGAGGGGGTGAGGGAGCCAACCTTCCTGAATTGCTCCGGATTTTGCTTCCATCCCCGTTGAGGAAGCCCTTGCTTAAATAAAATGTTCAGAGATGTGTTGTTAGCCAGGTCAGTGGGAGCTGGCAAAGGGGAGACCGGGACAGCAAGGTGCGTATCAGGCATGAAAGATCCTGTGTCACCGGAGGTCACAGGAGTGCCGCCGCCGACCTTTGAAAACCTGCAAAGAACTTGGTTTTGTGGCCTGGGGTGGGGTTACTACCAGGTACCGTTCAAAATAAACAGGGAGACAGCCTTCAGTTCCTCCACTGTGTTTACTGTGATCCTTCAAGAGTCGCTTCTCATCTGCAAACCCCACGTGTGGAGCCCTGGGCACGGGGCAGGCAACGTGTGCTTTCCCACT